AAGATCAGAGGGCATAGGTAAGTGAAAAGGTAGCCCAAATTCCCATATCGCTCATCATGGTTACCGAGTACCGAAAGGAGGAGGAGAAAGCCCAAGCTTGGTTTATGGGTAGAACAGCGTAGTATATTGGCACAGGGTGGAAATGGATGGTGTGTTGCATTACAGCTTCACTCAGGGCTGGCCTTGAATGACAGTGGTGAGGGAAAACTATCCTAACGGGCATGGCTTTGGTTGATGCACCTGACCAACCAGTTTGTGAGATAAGGTAAGTGGTCTGATGTTGGCATATATATGTGTTCATTGGTAGTGGTGAATGGCCTTGGCTGGCCCTGTCATGGGAGTGGAAGGAAAATGACTGGAAGATTGGAGATAGGGAGGTCTGAGGTAGAGGCAAAAGGCTGGATATATAGGAACAGGCACAAAGTGTGAAGAACGTGGTGTGACATATTTATGCTCACCAGAAAGCATTCACCGTGGAAGAGGCACTAAACAGATTAGACAAAATAGGTTAGTTGGTTTAGGTCTGCCACTCTGCCTGGATGCTGGTGTGGTAGGAACCTCACTCTCAAAGAATGTAATGTGTACAAGTGGGATATCAGAAGTTTGCCTCCCAGCTGATATGACTGAGCAACCACAATTTTTTACTATTACAAAGGAAGGGTGATATTCTGTCACTTTGAAATCTAGTGTCACAATAATTAAGTGTAGTCAGATCTCCAGAGTTCCTCTAAGCACTTAAATTTTATGGTTTAAATGTCATTCATCATTAATAGCCTTTGCTTATTGACCATCTACTATGTATTACTATGTATTTCCTAAGGTCTCTTTAAGGCTTGTTGTTTTTTAGAAGTACTAAAATCCTGTGTTTACCTGGCATCCCAACTTTTTGGATTGAAAAATACGAGTCCTCTTCATGTATAGTTATTAAACTGAGAACAGATTGTATTGCAGTCCAAGCATATAAATAAATTCTAATCAGCAAAAATAAGGAGCAGAAATTAGCTTCCATGAGCAGAAGCTAAAACCTAGAAATGACCTTTTGAATTTCTCTTATGCTTGGGAATGAGTAATTCCTGAAGTATTAGAGTGAAAGGTTAAATAGATTTTAGAAATCAGCCATTCCAAGCATAATCAAAGCTTTCATTATAGCAGTTCAGTATTTATGTGTGTGTCTGAACATGCTGAAAAAAATTATCAAATTATCAAAAATGTTGAGAGTCTTGTTAAGGTAGTTTTTTTTTTTTTAAGATTTTATTTATTTGAGAGAGGAAGAGAGAGAGCACGAAAAGGGGCAGGATCAGAGGGAGGAGCAGACTCCCTGCTGAGTGGGGAGCCCAATGTGGGACTTAATCCCAGGACTCCAGGATCCTGACCTGAACGGAAGGCAGATGCTTAACAGACTGAGTCACTCAGGCATCCAAGGTAGTTTTTGTTTTTGTTTTTAACAAGCTTTATTTTTTGGTTAGGTAGTTTGTTTTATTTATTTATTTATAAAGATTTTATGTGTTGATTCTTCAGGGGGAGAGGGAGAGAGAGAGCACAAGCAGGGAGAGGGAGAAGCAGGCTCCCTGCTGAGCAAGGAGCCCAATGTGAAACTCAATCCCAGGACGCTGGGATCATGACCTGAGCTTAAGGCAATTGTTTAAGGGACTGAGCCACCAGGCGTCTCTTGTTAGGTAGTTTTAAATGATGGGTATCAGAAGGTTATTGACAAGACCCTGATACCTATTTGGAAATAATTTAAATGTTCATAGCCTGTAGCTTGTGCGCTAGAGTCACATAAATTGCATCCTGTAGGTTTTAGTAAGTTGCACTCAGAGATAGATGCTTCTTAGCTCCTTGTAAATATAATGCACCACTAGACCTTGTACCTGGTGTAAAATAATGAGTATAATTATTTAAATATTAAAACTAAGGTTCTAAACAAGTTGGAATACTGATTACTATCAGTAGCATAATTGGCCATAGTAAATTTAATTTTAACTATTATCTTTAGTCATGATCAGTTTGAAATCATATTCTGTGAGACCAGTAGTTCTCTCTTATACCCAATTAATTGGCTTCAGTGGTTCAGGGAACTCATCTTGGGCCCTCTAGTCACCAAGCAGCTGTAATGTAAGATCCAAAAATGGGCTGCTCTTTGCTAAGAGTACGTCTAAGATTCTTTTTAATGAGAATCTCTTTTCATAGGAAAGCAGGTAGTTGGTTGGTCTTTTGTCTAGTTTGATGGGCTCACATCGGTGAACAAAATAGACAAAAATTCCTGCCTTACCAAGCTTACATTTTACTGGCAGAAGGCAGATAATAAATCAGTAGATGATATAGTATATCGGAGGGTGGACTATATTACGGAAAATAAGAAAACAATGAGGGGCAATAAGGGAGGGTGGGAAGCCACAGTTTCAAATAAGGTGGTTAGACCCACTAAGAAGATGACGTTTAAGCAGAGACTTGACCCTGGTGAGGTAAGGTCATGTGCATACTGGGGGGATGATCATTCCAACATGTCCAAGGATCTTGAATCTGCTTTCCTTGTTATATTTTATTTTGCCAGTTTCTTCTTATGTGATTTGATACTGATGGGAAATGAGAAATAATTTTTCAAGTTCTAGTTAATTTAGAAATGCTGATTGTCAATGAACTATTGTGTTTACTGGTCTCTTTCACCATCCCTTTTCAGTTCACTTTTAATTTCTTCACGCATATGTCCCAACAGAGATACCCACCGTGAGGTGCTGAAAACTAGTAATCACATCTCTTACTGCATGGAGTTAGAGAAAGGGCTGGGAAGTCAAATAAGCAGTCTAGTTTCAGTGTTTCCCTTTATGCAAGTCCTGCTTGTTGCAAAGTTTGGCATGTGAAAGAAGGCTCCCAGGACTCTAGTCAATGCTGGAAACAATAATTAAAAAAAAAAAAACTCAAAAGACAAAACAAAATAATTTCATTTTTTCTATTTCATAATTTCATACATTTTAAATTAAATGAATATAGTAGTAGTTAATATAGTATGAAACCATAAAACAATATTTCTAGAATAATTTCAAATTCCGGATGCCTAAGGAAAAAGTTACTGACAGTTTGCTTTTCTTATAGTAACTCCAATTTCAAAAAGGGTCCTATTGTTCTCACTCTGTTTACAAGTATTGTGGTGGTAGTGCCAAGAGACATCAGGTTTTTACCTGTAGGGTCAGGGTCTATTATGAAAGTGCCTTGAAAAATAAAATGTGTGCTGAACAGACATAAAGCACCGCCATTGTTCACTAGGGGCATTGTGGCTCTTTTTAGTAATATGGCAAATATTTAATAGTGCTAGGAGATAGACAAATACATATTCATCCGTAAGGAATATGTATTTATCCATAATGAAAACCAGACACTTAAAGCTTTAAGAGAAGTTCACTTTATTCTTTGTGATGGGCAGTAATTCAGCTTCTCTGTGCCTCTGCTCCCTCATCTGAAAAGTGAGAATAAAATAGCGCTTACCTTTATAACTATGTACGGTGAGGGATGTTAACTAGGCTTGTCCTGGTGATCAACTGGAAATATACTGAAATACTGAAGTGTTATGTTGTACACCTGAAATAAACTTAAAAAAAAAAGTTTTTATTTGAGAGCAAGTGAAAGAGTAAGAGAGAGAGAGCATGAACAGGGTTGGGGTTGGGTGGGGGGAGAGGGGCAGAGGCAGAGAGAGAAGCAGGCTCCCCACGGAACAGGGAGCCCAACTCAAGACTCGATTCCAGGGTCCTGGGATCCTGACCTGAGCTGAAGGCAGACGCCCAACTTTTTTTTTTTTTTGTAAAGATTATTTATTTGTTAGAGGGGGAGTGAGCACAAGCAGGGGGAGTGGCAGGCAGAGGGAGAAGCAGGCTCCCCACTGAGGAAGGAGCCACATCCCCAGCTCCATGACAGGACGCTGGGATCATGACCTGAGCTGAAGGCAGACCTTTAACTGACTGAGCCACCCAGGCGCCCCTGAAGCTAACTTAATGTTACGTCAATTATACTTCAATTAAAAAAATACTATTTACCCACTTTATAAGGTTAACATGAGAACTAGGATAAATTGTGCAAAGAACGAAGAACAGTTTCTGGCACACAAAAAGCGCTCAAAACTGAAAATTGTTATTAAATTCACAAAAATACAGTGGAGGGGCATCTCAGAGTTGAGATCTAATATAAAGATACATCTTTCAGGATATCACAAAAACTTTTGATTTTACTGTCAGAATCAGCCATGTCAATTTATTGGTTTGGTCATCTCATGGACAGTTATTAAGACCCTCATTCTGTTAGGTCCCATGCCTGGGAATTAGTTGATCTTAATCTAGCACTTCCCTTTTCACTAAAGGATAAAAGTTCACAGCGTTATTAAATCTCAAGTATATGCCAACTCTTCCAAAAGGTTATTGTCAGAAACTAAGAGCGCCTTGAAGGCCCCCAGATCAGGTGGGGAGGTGGGAAGGGCTGGGTATTGTGTCCGGACTATGCCAAGAAGGGAGTTCCTGGCCTCGGCCGAGTGCGTGGTATTTAGAGCTCTCTGGGCCTGATTTCTAGATGGTGGCTGAACCGGATGCAAGAGTTGCCCTCTTTTTGACCTGAATCAAGTGCTTAAAAGGGAAGGTGGCAGCGGCCAGAGCGCTCTACCCCCTCCAGCTAAAGGCTTCATCCTGGTGTGTTCTGGCCACATCCTCCTCCTTAACGCGGATCGGATAGCGCTCCCAGGCGAAGTGGGGCCTCACCTGCCGCAGGTGTCCCTAGGGAGTCCGGAGGCGTGGCCGCACCCCCACCCCGCCCCTCCGCTTCTCCAGGCCGGGAGCTGCAGGCCGCCGCTCGGGTCCCCGAAGCCGGGAGGTCTGGCGTCTCGGGGATTTGGGGCCCGCTGGAGCGGCGCCCGGCCGAGGGCACCCCAGGCGCCGAAGAGGCCGCGCCTCCTCCCGGAACTGGCCGGCGCCGCAGGGCGGGAGGAGCGGCAGGAGCCGGGCTATCGCACGCCGCGGGACATGGAGGTCCTTCCCACAGGCGGGGGCCGGATGGGGCGCCCGGAGCCGGGGTCAGGGCCGGAGGACGCGGAGGAGGAAGCGGTTCCCGGAGTGCCCGGAGCCCCGTGCCTGCGAGGGGCGCCGTCGGCGGAGCGGCCTCGGGGCTCTCGGGACTCCTGGGGGGCGGAGGAGGACCCGGAGTCCGGCGAGCCGCGGGACGGCCGGACCAGCCGCACGGCGTCCCTGGTGAGCGGGCTGCTCACCGAGCTGTACAGCTGCGCGGAGGAGGAGGAGGCGGTGGGCGCGGGCCGTGGGCCCGGGGGTCGCCAGCGGCGCCGCGACAGCCTGGACAGCTCAACGGAGGCTTCCGGCTCCGACGTGTTCCTGGGCGGCCGCGGCAGCGCCGGCGACTCGCGCGTGCTGCAGGAGCTGCAGGAGCGGCCGAGCCAGCGGCACCAGAGGCAGTACCTGCGGCAGAAAGGTGAGCGCCGGGGCCGGGGGCTTAGGTGGCTGCCCGGAGCCCCGCCCGCTGCGCCCGCCCGCGCCCCAGCGCTCACCTGGGCGCACCTGGCTGAGCCCGCCGGGCGCTCAGTACGTTTGCGGCGTCTCCTCTGACCTGTCGCTAGTGCCCGCAGTGTCACCAATTCAAGACCAAACTTGGTTCTTACTGCCCCTCGACCCCCATTCCCTCTCGAGTTGTCCAGTGGAACCTTAGCGCCGGGTCACGTGTTCGTGGAGGCCCGAAGGGAGAGGCCGTCCACCTTCTAATTTCCCCAGAACAGCTGTGGGGACAGGTTTGGAGTTTCTGACACGTGTACCAGAAGTTACCTAGAGGGCGCCGGGAGAAGAGAGGCGACTCCTGCGGCTGATTTTTTTCCCCCTTCCCCTAATCCGCCCTACCCTGGCTACAGCACTAGGATAGTGTTTCACTAGTGAGGCGGAATAACTCGATAATGCAGTTTCTAAGCAGAGCGGATGAATTCCATTTCTGCCCGCCTGTCTGGTTTCAGGAAGCTCACTAGGCGAATCCCCCCCACCCCCCAACCCCGGCCTTTCAGTGGAGGATTACTGGAGGGCCCCACTGTGTTGGCACTATCACAGGATTTGACTGCTGGTACCTTCAGTTGGAAAGGTTGACCTGAAAATGGACTTCCTTTTGGTGGGTAGAGGCTAATTTGGTATTTCTTTTGTTATCAGACTCTGAGGCTCACGGCCTGATTGAGATTTCTTCCCCCTGTCAACTGTTCGTAATAGTTTGCCTTTCAGGCACTAACACAGTTATTACATTGTCTTTTTTATAGGTATACCAAGACTTCAATTTACAAAAGAAGTGGGATGTGGAAAACAGATGCTAAGTCACCATAACATTTCTTGAATTAATGTCCTTGTGCTAAATTACCAGAAGAGGGAGGAAGGAGAGGATACTGTAGAATGGCCTCCTGTCTCCTGATTGTAGTTGGGGGTGGGGGTGGGGAAGGGGCTGAGGAGGGGAACACACAGCAGAAAAGGAATAAACCTGTCTGCTTTCTCAAATCTATGTAAACAGTTTTCAACTTCCTCTTGGCTTCCTAGCTTTTTTTTTTTTTTTTTTTTCTTTCCCATCTGATTGTTACAAATGGCTTCCACCTTCCTCCCTCTGCCTGGGACTTTGCCTGGAATAGTGCCATTTTATTTGATACAGTTATTTGGCTGTTCTGAGTGTCTGTTTATGCCAAGAGTTCCGCAGGGCAGTAGTTCTTTCAGAATCCAACAAAGTCAATTTTGAAGAATTATGATTTGGCTTTCTGTTTTTACAAGGCTGTTTGCTTTTCATTACTGAGCAAATTCTGGGGATTGGTAATTTCCTTTTGGAAGAGGAAATTTGGCAAACTAAATTATAAAGAAGAGGTAACAGTACAGCTTTGCATGTGGATTTCAAACCAGTGGCCACTCTATTAATTCATAAGACCTCTAAGAGTCTGTTTTTTTTTTTTCCCAAGTCTCCAGTCTTCTTGCCTGGTTAGTTCCCTGCTAACCTTTTCTTTCCTTTAAATCAACCCTATTAGGATGAACAAAAGTGCCATATTCTAATAGTCTTACACACAGACACCCATTTATTGATGAACATCATTAGAATACTAAGAATAAAGAGATGTGAAAACAGCTGCCTATATAAATAATTTTATAGTTTATTAGATTACTTGATATATTTTCAGGGTCAAAAAAGTATCCCTGCTAACATAGTGCTCAGTAAGAATTTCATATAATGCAAATAAATAACCGGTGTGTTAATTCACTCTTCTATTAGGAATTTTGCTGTAGCACTGATCTAAAGATATTTAACATGTGTGGGCCCTTCATTTACGTGAGATGTGATGATTTCTCAGGAAATCTTGGCTCTCTTCTCAGCATTTTTATAAAGGTGGTGAACTTTGAGGTCAGAATGCTGTAATTGATATCCTGCCACTGTTCATTCTAGATGTGTGACCTTGGACAAAATTTTTAACCTTTCTGTGTCTCATTTTCCTCACTTACAAGTGGGGATAATAACAACACCTAACCTGAGAGAAGGCTGTGGTGATAATTACATAAGTTAATGTGTGTAAAATACTCAACAAATGTTAGATACTATTTTTATTATTATCGTATATACCAGAATGCCTTAGAGAGGAGGTCATCCACTGCTTGTCACTTGGTGGTCTCACTTTTACTCATTTATTTAACACTCATTTAACAGCAAAAGTGTCTGATGTGGTAGAACATACAAAGATAAAGGAGAGCTTCCTTCTGTCTTCAGGATGCTTATGTATCAGCAGATATTGCTGTAGAAATTTCTAAACTCAACTCTGGAGATTTTTTCCTACTTTGGACAATACATGTAATTCAGAGAGTCACAGAGCTGTAGGTACCTTAAGAGTCACTAAAAATGATCGTTTGTTGGAAGAAATCTATAATGTAAATTCAAGATGATGATATTCCTACACTTTTTCTTTCTGGAAGGAAAAATTTTAAACATTGAGAGAAAGACTATTTGTTCTATGGAAAGAATCTAGGAACTTGATCTAAGAGCCCTCTGGTCTCTTGTAGCTTGTTTCCATATTTAATTGTCCTTAGAGCACAAATAATATCATTTAACCTAAATATGCTCTTACTTCCCACTAGATACCACCATGTTAAACTCAAGGTAAGAGAAATAATCGGCCTTTGTTCTCTTCCCTTATTCTTATTTTAGTGTTATTTATATTGATGTTTATAAAAACTATTCACATTAGTCTCTCAGAATAATCTTGTATGCTAAGCAGAATGTGAGACTCAGAGCACCACCTTGCCTAAGATCAAAAAGGTAGTTGCTTGATCCAAAGGGAGTTCTTTTTAAGGTCAAATGCATTTTCAATGTTGTAGTCAAATAGGACTGCTGTTAAAGGACCCCCTGGTACTTCTGTTATACAGACCCCAAAGTTCATTTTCTTTGACCTCTAAAATTTATTTATTTTTACTTTTGAACACTTCCTTTGTTCTCTTCTGGTCCTCACTAGTTTCTCCAAATCCCTTTAAAAATGAATGGATCCAAATCTCACACAGGACCTTTAATGAGAGCCTAGCTAATGCCAAGCCGAGTGGAAGCTTCTTGCCTGACTGGCAGTCACACTGTAGTGACTAATGATAATATCAAGTGACAAATAGGGGCGTCTGGGTGGCTCAGTCAATTAAGCATCTGCCTTTGTCTCAGGTCCTGATCCCAGGGTCCTGGGATCTAGCCCTGTGTGGGAGCTTGCTTCTTCCTCTGTCTCCTACCCCCACTTGTGCTCTCTTTGTCTGTCTCTCTATCAAATAAATAATAAGTTCTTTAAGAGAAAAAGTGTGACAAACAGAACTCCCAATGGTAATGATTATTCATATAAAGATTGTCAATAGTTCTGATCCCCAAATCTTTTTTCACTTGTGGAAAGACAGCTTTTGTTAATATTAATTTTATGAATGTGGAATTATCCTTACTTTATCCATTGAAAGGAAATATATTTTCTCTCATATTTGAAAAATTGCTGAGTTTCTACTATATTGTACCTAATAGTCAATCTATTGGAAGATTGTATATTTAAAACAAAACCAATATTGCTATATTCATCTACATTAAAAAAAATGTGGTTCTATTATTTACTTTTTAACTGATGGTGTACAAACATGTAAGTGGTTTTAAAAACATTTGTTATCAGCTATTAGGTTTATCATTGATGTGACAGTCCCAAAAGGATTCTTTTTCTTTTTTTAAAGATTTTATTTATTTATTTGATAGACAGAGATCACAAGTAGGCAGGGAGGCAGGCAGAGAGAGAGGCGGAAGCAGGCTCCCTGCTGAGCAGAGAGCCCGATGTGGGGCTCGATCCCAGGACCCTGGGACCATGACCTGAGTTGAAAGCAGAGACTTTAACCCATTGAGCCACCCAGGCGCCAAAAGGATTCTTATAAGCTTACCATCTGAGCTAAACTTTAATGATACAAAATATACATGCCAATTTTCAGGCAAGGAAAGGTAAACCAGAGCTAAATATGACAAGAGTCTTTGCTTACATGTTGCAAGTAGCCTCGGGGATAAAATTTACCTTACAGTATTTGTTTCAGTGACAGGGCAGGAAATGAGTGAGTGACTTATTTGATCAGAGTATCTCAGCTGGGTGCACCTGCGTAGCTCAGTGGGTTAACTGTATGCTTTTGGCTCAGGCTGTGATCTCAGGGTGGTGAGATCGAGCCCCCTCATTGAGCTCCCTCCTAAGAGAGTGGGGGGAGTCTGCTTCTTCCTCACCCTCTGCACCCCCCCCGCCCCGTCCTACCCCACCCCTGCTCCTGCTTTCTCTCTCTCTGTCTCAAATAAATAAACAAATAAAAAGAATATCTCAGCTGAATACATACATGTAATCCTGGGTGAGAACCCAGAATTACCTGGTTTAAATGAGTGTTCTAGGTGTTTATCCTATGATTAGCATTACATTGGAATTTTTGTCCCTCTCTGGGTATTTATTTTCTTTTCCTTTTTCTCTTTCTTTACTGATAGACACTAATGAACTGAAGACAATCCTTCAAGAGCTAAAGTACAGAATTGGCATTCAGTCGGCAAAGTTACTTCGGCAGCTGAAGCAAAAAGACAGGCTTCTGCACAAAGTACAGAGAAACTGTGACATTGTGACTGCATGCTTGCAGGCTGTGTCCCAGAAGCGAAGTAAGTGCAGGAGTGCGGGTCAGCCCTTTGGCCACATGTGTCTGGAATGTTAGTGGAGTTGAGCAGTGGTCATGTTTTTGGCTATATTGCAAAGCTTCAAATGGAAGCTTATAGCATCGCAACTAAGAACTATGAACAGTTCAGTTTCCTAGTTTTTCGGTTGCAATGTATAGTACATGTCCGATGTTACAAACTTAGTTTTACTATTTTGGGTTTGAAGTAGTACTTCATTTTGACAATAGTTTTTACCTGATGCTAAATAATGACTGGAATATTTATTTTTAGAATTGCATCAAATAGACAACCTAAAAGACATATCTTTGTTCTCTTACGCTTTGTCACTCTAATAAGTGCATTAAGAATTGACTTAAGAGAAGGACACTTTTGTAACAGGATCTTCCAACTTGCTTTGAAATCTAAAAAGGACAAAATATTTTAACAAATTGAATCCGTCTCATGGGTCATCCATTCATAGCTAAGAACTGCGTGGTTTGTTAATTGAGTTAAAAATGTTAAATCACTGATCCATGTTTAATACTAGATATAAGAGCTTGTGAATTAATTTTTTAAATTCTCCATGCAGTAGTTTTAGTTTTATTCTGCTAACATGTCCTCATTTTTGTTTTTTTATTCTTTATTAACATGCAGCATGGCAGAACAGTGTGTTCAGGTATGGCAAATAGAGACACCAATGATGTTTTGATAAAAATGCGTGTGACAGCTTTTCAAGTGCACGTGATAGTTAGTTGCCTTACTTTGTTCCTTTACCCTGTCACATTTTAGATATAAAGTGATACATTTTACAGTTTTTTAAAATTCCAAATTAAGATGTGTCTGTTTTCTTAAAGCAATTTTCAGGACTTGATTAGTTCCAGATAATAAAATTAATGGCTTAAATGCCATTCTTCTGTTTATTATTAAAAGTAAAAACCACATTTTCTTCCTCCTGTTTTATTATATCACTGTTTGTTATCCCCAAATTATTATTCTTGCTGTTTACTAAACAAGGTTTCAATCTAATGTATATCAAACAGGATGTTGCTTAATTATCATAATGATATAATGGTCCATAGAGAAAGGGGGGGAGAAGGTCATTGAATAGACTGGTTTTGAATAAGGTTTTCTCCAGAGCCAGGCACTTGTCTGACATAGCTAGAGGAGAATACAGATGGAGATATACATACACATCTGCATATATTTATATATGTCTACCTACAAAAAGTTAGCATGTGTTGTAGGTATTGGATATTTTTCCATGGATTCTGATTCCCAAGTGTCGAGTAAAAATGCTATTATTTTACCCTTTTATTTTGAAATACCTTGATTTTTCTTTATTTCAACTGTGTTTTCATCTACCCATTATTATCGTTTGTACCAGAAGTTAAAAGCACAAAGTGGTAAATGCATGGAGTTTGGGTGTATGGGAGAGTCTAAGGGCGCATGGGACCAGTGTAAGGAGATGGAGAGGAATGGCTGGCTGGCACGGGATCAGGGGTTGATAATTACCTGGGGCCGATAATCGTTTAGGGTTTAAATTTACTTGACTGATAAAAGGACTGGCATTTGTGTCTTTTCAGAAAAATGTGTTCACAAGCACCTAATTCAATTTGCGAATTTGTGAATGCAGCCTTCCTATGTATTTTAGAGTTTGTCTCTTTAAATCCAGCCACAGTTTTGTATTTCAGAGAAAATGGGATTAATGCCTCTTAACCTCGGGAATTCAATTATCACCTTGGCGATAAGACTTAACTAAATGGAACAGAATTTTTTTTTGTCGAATTAAGAAAGGACAATGGATCAGAATTATCATTCTCGGGGCGCCTGGGTGGCTCAGTGGGTTAAAGCCTCTGCCTTCGGCTCAGGTCATGATCTCAGGGTCCTGGGATCAAGCCCCGCATCGGGCTCTCTGCTCCGCGGGGAGCCTGCTTCCTCCTCTCTCTCTGCCTGCCTCTCTGCCTACTTGTGATTTCTCTCTGTCAAATAAATAAAATCTTAAAAAAAAAAAAAAGAATTATCATTCTCATCATACATTATATTATGACATAGACATTATTCAGAATTTGACTGAATGGTTATTTCTCCAGAGGTTAGATGTTTTGGGACTCGATGTCTGACTGCCATAGATACATTTGCTTAGAATTCTAAAGAATTTAGATTTCATTGTTTTACACTGAATAACTGAGCTTTCATTTTAGTAGTGATGGGCAGTGGTGCATTTAAATACAACATGCATGTTGACTTCTTGGTATTTCACATACAAAAGTCCAGATAACCCCCCTTCCCCCGCTCTATATGGATCCAGTGCTTATAATGCTTTCCATAAGTGATGCTTCCCCTTCTATAACATGTTGTAATATGAAACTATTTTAATCTTTGATATTAAAATGGGTTATTTCCTGTTGATACACCAAAGGGGATATAATGATTTCCTAAGTAAGTGTGGATAATGAACCAAAATGACTAGATCGTTTTTATTTTGAACATGTATGCTATAACTGCCTGGATATTTTGGTTTCCTACACCAAGGTTTATGGTAGAATCCCTTTCTTTTTTTTTTTTTTTTTAAAGATTTTATTTATTTGATAGAGAGAGAGAGAGAATGAGAGAGAGAGAGCATGAGAGGAGAGAGGTCAGTGGGAGAAGTAGACTCCCTGCCAAGCAGGGAGCCTGATGCAGGACCTGATCCCAGGACTCCAGGATCATGACCTGAGCCGAAGGCAGCTGCTTTAGCAACTGAGCCATCCAGGCTCCCCAGAATCCCTTTATTTCAAAACAGGGGTGGGAATAAGAAGAGCAGGATCACTGTATGCCTTGTAGAAATGCAAATTTTTCCCTATATTTAACTGTCTATCTAAGGATAACCATGGTATAACCAATTTAATATTAATAATAACATTAATGATAAGAATAGAAGCAGCTGTCACTATTCATTAAGTACACGGATGTGTACATGGGAAAATCTACCTCATGGCTTCAAGACAGTGAGAAGAATGAGATAAATATTTGGCCAGGAGTTTGATTCTGATGTTAAGATTTTTAAGTGATTTGCTTTCCTTATGATTTAACTATTTTTTCCCCTGAAGGCAAAAGGAAGGTCCTCTTAATTATAATCATTTCCTAATTTTACAATTTTCTGCATCAGTGTAGTAAATATTTAAGTTATTTATGCTGGTTGAGTTTGTGAAATGGTGGTATAAGTCAAGTGATAAAATCTAGCTATCATTGGAAAACTGTGATAAGAGAAAAGGGTGGAAAAAATGTGAACATTCATGGAAGTGTTGTCTTTATTTTAACCTTGTCAATAAGTACAGGAATTTTAAACAGCTTACAGCCCTATTTGATTGATGTACCTACCCCGACATCTTGATAAGAGTGTGATTAAGGCTTGCTCTCCTTCATAAATGCCTGGTGGTCACTGATACTTGTCAAAGAGTTAGTGGTCTTTGTTCTTTTCCTGTGGTTGTCTTCTCTAACACAGTACCTTGTTCTCTGTGGCAGGAGAAGGAATTTGTGTGGCTGAGTTTGGTGGTACTGACATTCAACATTTTCCGCAAAGAAACAATTCTCTGTGTTTTTAAAAACAAGTTATAAAAGTAAATAAACTTAAAAAAAAGAAAGTGAATGCACTCAACCAGCCATCTCACTCCTAGATAACTGAAGATATATGTCTCCATGAAAAGTTGTACATGAATGTTCATAGCGGCATTATTCATAATAGCCCCAAAGTGAAAACAACTCACATGCCTATCAGTGGATGAATGGGTTAACGAGAGTGGTATATCCATATAATGGAAGAGTCTTGTCATAAACAGGAATGAAGTACTGATTCATGTTACAAGATGGATGACCCTTGAATGCATTTTACTAAGTGAGAGAAGCAAGACACAGAAGTCCATGTTTTGTACGCTTCTATTTGGAATGACCAGAGAGGTAGATTCATAGAAATAGGAAGTCGATTCCTGGTTGTCAGGGGCTGCTAATGCGATGGGGTTTTTACTGGGATGATGAGAATGTTCTGTAATTAGGTGATGGTGATGGTTACACAACTTGTGACTATACTAGAAATTGTTAAATTATACAGTTTAAAAGGGTGAATTTTATGGCGTTTGAATTATATCTCAATACAAAGTGTTAAAACTATAATACACTATGGAAACTTTGGAAAATACAAAATTACAAATAAAAAGAAAATCATTTTCTAAAGACAGTCTTTTCATAGTTCCAAATATTTTTATATATTCAAGTGTTTTTTTTAAAGATGTATTTATTTTATTTTGAGAGAGAAAGAGAAAGAGAGGAAGCTTGAGCGGGAGGGATGGTTAGAGGGAAAGGGAGACAAGCAGACTTGCCGCTGATGTGGGGCTTGATCCCAGGACCATGAGATTGTGACCTGAGCCAAAATCAAGAGTTGGATGCTTTAACTGCCTGAGCCATCCAGGTACCCTCAAGTCGTTTTTTATACAAAGTTTTTCCAAAGCCAGTGTATTAAATAACATTTTTGTATCCTTTTTTTTTTTTGCCATTGACATAAATTATCCGTAAATACAATTTTCAATGATTAATGCACTGATGTTCAATCTATCGTGGTTTTTTTTTTGTTTGTTATAACATTATAATAGTGAAGAATCTTCTTTCAGTCATGAGTACAGAAACACAACTTAAACTGATTTAAGGGAAAAAGGAAATTGATTGGCTTACATAATTCAAATTCCAGGGTTGTGGCTTTGGGGGTAACTAAATCAGATACAGCTGCTCAAATAGTTTTTTTTTAAACTTTTATTTATTTATTTGACAGATCACAAGTAGGCAGAGAGGCAGGCAGAGAGAGAGGGGGAAGCAGGCTCCATGCTGAGCGGAGAGGCTGATGTGGGTCTCCATCCCAGGACCCTGGGATCATGACCTGAGCTGAAGGCAGAGGCTTTAACCCACTGAGCCACCCAGGTGCCCCTCAAATGTTTTTTTTTTTTAAGACTGATTTCATCTCTTGGCTGTGCTTTCCT